GGGGGGGGGGGGCGGGCAGGCTTGGCCTCACGCGCGTGCGCAGAACTCGCGGCCTCCCCGCAACCTTGGCCACGCGCGTTCCCTGCGGACTGAGCTCTGAACACCGCCCACCGGAGTCTGGTTGCAGGGATCTGCCGACGACCATCCTGGGCGCAGCTTTACTTTCCCATACTTCAGCGCCTTTTAGGAGAATGTGGAAGGACAGAGGAGAGGGAGAGCCATGAGCGGAGGACAACGCCTGGAAGCCAGGGTTAAAGTCTTTCATTCTTAGTTGGCGTCATTTTCTAGGCCCCCAAAACTATCTTCTTTCCGGAAAATGATTCTGGCCTGTTACCACAGAATAATAATGCGATTTGGACAAAAATGAATGGTAATTTAATCCAACCATTGGATTGGGAGAAAATGAATGGAATTCATTCATATAATGCAGATACTTGTCAAATACCTCTTCTGGAATCCTCCGCATCCATATACACGTTTCTTCATTACTTAAGAGGTATTGAAGACCTATTGTGAAGACTAAGGAGCAGAGGATATAAAGAGACCGCATAAAATTGGTCAGCTGGGTCTTGAAGGATGAGCATCCAACTAGTAGACACACCTTTGTTTACTATTTCAGAACAATGTTTTTGACTCCAGATGCTATTTGCATGTAAGAAGATCAAACTAAAAGTCTAAACTAAAGTTCTTGAGAACTCCAGATCCTGTTTACTTTTTTTTTCCTGGGTATCCAAAAGGATAAAATTACACTGCTTCTTTATGAATAACTTCATTTTCTTAAAGTTATTTTCCACTTACTTTTTTTTTTTTTAAGTTTATTTATTTAGAGAGAGTGCATACACATGCGTGCATATGACTGGAGAAGTGACAGAGAGAAACGAAGGGAGAGAATCCCAAGCAGGTCTGCTGTCAGGGCACAGAGCCTGAGGTGGGGTGGGGAGGACTGGATCCCACTAACTGCAAGATCATGACCTGAGCGGCAATCAAGAGTCCCACGTTCAACAGACTGAGCCACCCAGGCCTCCCTCTTCCACTTAGACTTTTAAAATTCTTCTGTTTAGTGTAATTGATTCTGCAAATAGCAATTTTCCATTTTACTGATATATGTCTAAAATTTTCTTTTAATATAGTGTTTTAATATTGTTACAAAGATAAAGTGAGATATATTAGAAATGTTTCATTTATTTGAGCAAAAATTTATTCAAATTGGGCAGCACCAAACTGAAAGTGGTTAAGAGTCCTCCAATGAGAGGAGCTAGAGGCAACACAGAGAAGACGAAGAAGCAAAGCAAGGAAGTTATTTCATTTGCTATAGTTTAAGCATTTGCATTATTTGGGGAAATCTAGTTGGCTGTTTGTGATTGGTTGTTCTTAGACATTTATAGGAATTAATTCTGGCTTAGGTTTGGTTTGCTTACATAGGCTATCAAGGTATTAGAGCCATCTCAGTCTAACAGCGTCCTTGACTGATTACTTCAATAATATACTGAGAACTTGAATTTTAACTTCTGTTAGGCTTAGTTTTTTTTCCCCAACAGATACTATAAGCAAATAAAAATAATATTTGGTTTACTTCAGGGTTTCAAAATAGCTAAACTGAGATCATATTCTGAAAATTCTATGCTGTAGAATTACGTTGAATTGTTATTTATGCTTAGATTTCCCAGTTCTAGTAATATAGACGTTTGTTGAATATAAACTACTTGAATGGGATTTTAGAATGATACTAAGACTTTAAAAATAAGACTTGATACCCATTCATATCATCTAAGAGGTTCCCTTTAAAAACAGAGGCTGATAAGTATGCCTGGGTGGCTCAGCTGGTTAAGCGTCTGACTTCTGCTGAGATCATGACCTTGTGGTTTGTGAATTTGAGCCCTGCGTGGGGCTCTGTGCTGACAGCTCAGAGCCTGGAGCCTGCCTCAGATTCTGTGTCTCCCTCTCTCTCTGCCCCTCCCTGCTCATGCTCTTTCTCTCAAAAATAAATAAACATTAAAAAAAAAAAAAAAAATGGAGGCTGATGTAAAACTGAAAAACAATTATCACTTGTAGAATGTATGGCCACCATTATTGTATGTCCTTTTTGTCTGTTTTTAGCTGTCTTTCCTCCCCATCCACCAGCTCTCTTTTCTTCCTTTAAGGTGAATTTAAGGGCAAAATGGCATGATGGAAAAAAGAAAAAAAAATCGGTAAACCTAATACACTGATAAGAACCCAAAATATTTCTTTATACATTACTGGTTTAAAACATAAACAGAAGAATCTTTCTAGAAAATAATTTGTCAACAGATTATCAAAATCACATTTAGTCAATGTGTTTCTATACAGATGCTAAAAATGATGCCTGTTGAAACTTTGGCTACAGAGTTCAGTTGGAAAGTTAACAAAATATAGAACCACATATACACAGTATGATTATGTAAAAATGCATGGAAAAAAACTTATCTGCAATCTATATTTTTTCATAATAAGCAATATAATAAGCACAGTAAGCATATTATATTGACTATGTAAATAAAAATTTATCCTAGACTAGGTTCTAGCGCTAAATCTGGCATTAGCTAGCCTCAGTATCCTCATCTGGAAAATTCTATCATTCTCTAAGCAACGAATATAATGATCCTTTAGAGGGTGATAATGCAATGAGGAAAAGAGGAAGACAGAAGGGGAGAAAACACTTCTGAAGTAAAGGAGGAAAAGTCTGATTGAAAATGGGCCCACAGCCTCCTCTCCTCAACCCATTGCCTCTCCTTCCTGCCAAACTCTATTCTGAGCCACCATTAAAACCAAAAACTTCCAAAAATGATTTTTGCAAAGTCTTTGAAAAGTAACAGAACAATCTGTTTGCAAAAAGCAAGAACTTTTATCTGCCAAATCAATAAAACATGTGTTTCAGCCGAAAGTTATTAGGTCAACAAACTGGATCGCCTGTATCTATTTTCCTTTCGTGTATATTGTTAACACAACAAGCGCCTAGTTGAGCAACTTGTAATGGCGAGTGTCTTGGCCCTACATTCCCTGCGTGCCACGGCCCGTAAACAAAGTGCAAACGTTATTTAGCTGTTTCAGCTTTTCTGGAAGGGTGCCTGAATTTAACCACAGCAAAGCAAGTAAAAAGGATAGGCCGACTGACAGAGCGAGGGAGGAAGGATGCTGGGGCAGAGAGAGCATGGAGTGTTAAAGAAGGTCTCAGAATTCAGTATCCGCGGCAGACGCCTGGAATCTCTGTGAAAGATCTCAGAATTCAGGACAGCTGAACAACCCCGGGCTGGGAGGGGAATGCAGGGAGGGTTTTGTGGGGAGGGGGAAAAGCCCCAATCCTGGGGGTGGGGACGTGATTAGTTTTCAGTAATCGGTATCTGAAAGAGAGGAAATGAGGCCACCCGTTTGCGTGAACAGTTGAGATGCTCTAGCAACTTTTCACAAAAGACAGATGCTGCTTTTTAAAGACCACGATCTTGTTAACATAGAAACCGCACTTCCACTTTGCAATTTTTTTCTCTGTAATCTCCAAGCCCCCACAAGTACCCCCAAACCAGAGGCAGAGACAACCTCTAAAATTACCAAAGATCTTAACATCCAATGTGAGAAACTACAAGTCCCAGGGTGTAGTGCTGCCGTGGAGAGTACCTGCCAGAGTAACTACAAATCCCAGGATGCAGTGCTGCGACGGAACTCCGAGCATCTCTTTCAGAATGTTGTCCCTGCGGAAATCAGATCAGGCTCGGCGTTGCATGCTGGGAATCAGAGACTCAGAATCCGATTGGTTGAGATTTGCAAATGACCGCGGTCAGTGGTACTGTAGGAGTAGGGAGGAGGGCGTGCGCACTTCCTGTGCACGGAAGCCGGCAATAGACTGCGTCCCTGCCTTACCAGGTACCGATCTCCCGCGCGTTGTAGAAAGCGTCCATGACCCGGCGGAAGTGATTCCTCCAACTGCCCCGGAACCCACGGCGGCAGGCAGCTGGGGGTGGGGGGGTGGCCCTGGAGTAGGGGCTGTGGCGGTGCGCGGGGACCCGGTGCGGTGGCTGCGGTGGCTTCAGGGCTGACGAGTGAGTCTTGGGCTGGGATGGGAACGGAGCTCCAGATTCGTATGGAGAACGAGGAAGGCTTGTACTGGGCACGCTCACAGTCCCACTTCCCACCCCTTCCCATTTGGGCGGGGAAGCAACGGAAGCTCTTAACCTCCCCGGGCCTCCTCAGCTCCTGGTTTGGGGGAGGGGAGAAGAGGGCTGCGGGACCTTTCCAGGCGCCTCTCGGTGGGTTTGGAAGAGGGAGAAGGAGGGGCGGTCGCCAGCGTGTCTGGGCCTTCCCCGGGCTGAGCGCGGGGAGGGTGGAGTTAGGAGCATGGCAGCTCTGTCTCTTTCCCTTTTTGCTTTCCCCGGGTGCACTCGGATAAGTCCTTTTCTTGGAGTCCGTCCCCAGTCACAGGAGTGACTCTCACAGTCTTTCACAGTCACCGTCCCCCTCTTTCCAGCTGCAGGACCCCGACAAGTTTACCTTCTGGGCAACTTGTCGGTCGATCCCTACCCGACTTGATAGTTTGAAACTGTCGTGCATCTACCTTCAGTTTTTCTGAAACGTGTTTAGTACGGCGGCCGCTGAATTTCTCTTACGGAACTAAAATCTCTTTAGTAATCTGTAGCTGTGGAATTCATGTCATTAGTGCGAGCATTTCTACTTTGCATCACCTTCAGTGTACGGAACAACCGAAATCCTTTAGTTTGAGTTTTTAAATCCTTATATGAAAACTGCCATATTTGCTTTTTGACCCCCCAAAAGTTGTTTCCTTTAGTGTATAGTAGACTAAGATGATAAATTGCTGATCTTGCTTACATTATAATTCATGATGTTGAAACATCACAGGTGGATTCATTCATTCTAGAGATACAGTGGTAAGAAAACAGCTATGATCCCTGTCATCGTGGATATTTATTGCTAATTGCCAAGTAATGATTTGGGGTTCATTATTAGTTTTCAAATGGTCATTCTTTTTTCCCTTAAGTATGAAATGTATTTAGTAACTACGATTTCAAAATATATATACATATTTTTTTAAGTTTATTTCAACTCAGCTGCCGGTTTCATTACATTATGGTAATTGTGTAATGTAATTAGTAGTTAGTAGCCAGAGGTTATAGTCAACCCTATTTATCAAGTTCTGGTTGTTTTTTTTTTTTTTTTTT